TGCAATGAAAGCCGTCCTCAGAGGTAAATTTATTGCAATGAGTTTCCACATCTCGAAAATAGAATGAATACAAATACATAACCTGATGCTACACCTCAAACATCTAGAAAAAGAAGGGAAAATCAAGCCCAAAGCCAAAAGAAGAGAGGAATGTATAAAAATCAGAGCAGAAATCAATGCAATACAGACTAAGAAAACAATCCAAAGAATCAATGAATAAAAGAGTTGGTTCTTTGGAAGAACAAATAAAATTGACAAGCCCTTAGCCAACATTATTTTAAAAAGGAAGAAAAAGCTCAAATTCATGCAATAAGGAATGAAAAGGCTGAAATCACTACAGACTCTATAGAAATACAGAAGATCATCAACACCTATTTTGAAAACCTCTACTCTCAAAGGTTTGATAACAAAGAAGAAATAAACCGATTCCTAGAGCCATACAAAGTACCAAAGCTAGGTCAAGAGCATGTAAAACTGCTGAATAACCAATTTCTACTAATGAAATTGAAAATGTAATTAAGTCCTTACCTACAAAAAAGAGCCCAGGCCCAGACGGATTCACTGCAGAATTCTACAAGAAATACAAAGAAGACAATGCCAACACTCCTCAAACTCTTCAATGAAATGGAAAGGGAAGCAATCCTTCCTAAGTCATTCCTCAAAGCAAATATTACTCCAGTACCAAAACCTGAGAAATACTCAACTAAAAAAGAGAACTATAGACCAATCTCCCTAATGAACACAGATGCAAAAATCCTCAATAAAATATTGGCAAATAGGATGCAGCAAATCATCAAGAAGATTATACACCACGACCAAGTGGGTTTCATCCCAGGCATGCGCGGATGGTTCAACATACATAAATCAATAAATATAATCCACCATATCAATAAAGCCAAAAGTAAGAACCACATGATCATTTCTATAGATGCAGAAAAAGCTTTTGATAAGGTCCAACATTCATGCATAAGAACCTTACAGGAGATTGGAATAGATGGTCTTTACCTCAATATAATAAAGGCCATCTATGACAAACCAACAGCCATTATCATACTTAACGTCCAAAAATTGAAGACCTTTACCTTAAAATCAAGCACAACACAAGGATGTTCTTATCACCACTTCTATTTAATATAGCACTGGAAATACTAGCCAGAGCAATTAAACAAGAGAGAGAAATAAAAGGGTTAAAGATACAAAAAGAAGAAGTTAAATTATCATTGTTTGCAGATGACATGATACTCTACATAAAAGACCCCCTAAACCCCATTGAAAGACTCTTAGATATAATAAATAAATTCAGCAATGTAGCTGGATACAAAATCAACACTCAAAAATCAATAGCATTCCTATACACTAACAACAAAATCACACAGAGAGAAATAAAAGCCACACCCTTCATACTAGCAACCAAAAAAAATGAAATATTTAGAAATTATTATTACAAAAGAAGTGAAAGACTTATACAATTATAATACACTAAAAAAAGAAATTGAAGATGATCTCAGAAAATGGAAAGACATCCCTTGCTCATGGATAGGAAGAATAAATATTGTAAAAATGGCCATTCTCCCAAAACTCTTATACATATTCAATGCAATCCCAATGAAAATACCATCAACATACCTGATAGATCTTGAGAAATCACTCCTATAATTCATCTGGAGCGAGAAGAGACCTAGATTAGCAAAGACATTTCTAATCAGCAAAGGCAAGGCAGGAGGCATCACAATCCCTGACTTGAAGTTATACTACAAAGCAACTGTAGTAAAATCAACATGGTACTGGAATCAAAACAAAGCCAAAGATCAATGGAATAGACTAGAAGATACAACCACAACTACAAACACACTCAACCACCTTATCTTTGATAAAGGAGCCAAACAGGTTCAATAGAAGAACAACAGTCTCTTTAATAAATGGTGTTGGAAAAACTGGACCTCTATATGCTAAAAACTAAAACTTGACCCATACTTATCACCATGTACTAAAATAAACTCTAAATAGATCAAAGATCTGAATACTAAAACAGAAACACTAAATCTGTTGGAAAACAAATTGGTTAAGAACCTTGAAGACATAGGAGTAGGTAGAGAATTCCTGAACAGGAATCAAACCACATGGGAAATACTTTCCAGAATCAATAACTGGGATCCCATCTTATTAAAAAGTTTCTGCATGTCAAAAGAAATCTCCAGCATAGTGAAAACAAAACCCACAAACTGAGAAAAAATCTTAGTGAACTGTCCCTCAGACAAAGGACTTCTGTCTAAAATATATAAAGAATTTTTTAAAAATCAGATCCCCAAAATTCAAAAATCCAATCCAAAAATGGCCATCTGAGATGAATACACAATTCTTGGATGAATACAAGTGGCGAATAAATACATGAAAAAATGTTCATCATGATTAGTCATTGAGAAATGCAAATTAAAACCACACTGAGATTTCTTCTCACTTCTAAAAGAATGGCCAGGAACAAGAAAACCATCAACAACAAATGCTGGAGAGGCTGTGGGGGAAAAGGAACTCTCTGCACTGTTGGTGGGAGTGTAGACTGGTGCAACTATTGTGGAGGTCTGGATATTTCTCAAAAAGCTGGGATTGGAAGTCCCATTTGTTCCAGCTATTCCACTTCTAGGCATATTCCCAGAAGAACTGAAAGCATCATACCATAGTGATACATGTGCACCCATGTTTATAGCAGCACAGTTTGTAATCACCAGATCTTGGAAACAATCCAAGTGTCCATCAACTGAGGAATGGATAAAAAACTTGTGGTTTTTTTTTATACAATGGAGTACTACTCAGCTATAAACAAGGATCACATTGAGACATTTATAAATAAATGGAGGCACCTTGAGACCATACTCATAAGTGAAATAAATCAAATTCACATGTATAAATACCGAATTGTTTCCCTAGTGTAAGTAATGATAAGAATACATAAAAAGTATGTGATAATCAGCGTCCCCAGTCACACTGGTTTGAAGCCATACATTTTCACTCATTAATTGGAATGGTTTTAATCTGGGTTCCTTTATATTATTGTCTGCGATACTACAAATAGCTATTTTGAAGCAAATAAGACAGCATAATAGCTAGTGCTGATTTAATATCATCCTGTTTTGAATCCCCATCAAGTTGTTGTTTGTCTGTTTCCATTAGTTGTAACATGCTGTATCTTATTATATTTTAATGTATGCAATAGTATAAGCAAAAATTTTTATAGGCAAAGAAATCACATAGAAACCGAAGTTCGATTTCTGTTAGCTGGCTCTAAGTACCCTGCAATACTTTCATTCTCTTGAATGGTTTCACACTGTCTTGCCAAGTTTGATGCTATAGTATATGAAGTTAGACTCAAATATTTCAAGGAAAGAGACACTATGGTAACTACTATTAATGTCAGGCTATCTGGTGGTGAAACACAATGATACTTAAATTGTTTGGTTCTGACCTGTGTTGTACTATTGATATGCTCTTTTTTTTTATCTGAATCTCACCCCCCTTTTTTTCCTTTTTTTAAAAATTAATTTATTTCTTAATATCTTTTAATTAAGGGAAAACCAAATTAAAAATAGCAGGATATATTACAGTAACTTTTTTGTTTTCCTAGTAACCTGATTTGAACCCTTGTATGGTTCTCCACATCTTGTTCTGACTGATTTTATTATATTCCGTTTTGCTTAATAGTATCAAATTTGAGGGTATAGGCAACCACTTTGAAGGCAACCAGATACTCTATGATGCCCATTATGGTTTGACTATTATCTTCTTTGGAAGTCCTGCAAGGTCTCCAATGTGGGTTTTACTGGCCTTTTTAAAAAAATTTTATTTAAGGAGAAAAAAGAAAAAAAAATAGAAAAAGGGTACAAGTTATACAGAATTTCAGAAAAAATAAACAGTAGGAAATCACTAGTTAATTACATATTGTCATCTTAGAAATAGTTGTTGAAGTTACAAAATTAAAGCATATAGAGGGGACTTTCAAACAGTGAGACTGGAAACAGTTTTGTTCAATGATCCAACAAAACTCAGTAATATGGTTATCTATCTTATACACTTAAATATATATGCAGTTATATCTTTTAGAGAACTTTCTTTTCTTTTCCTTTGTACAATGACAATTACACATTTTGGGTATTATTACTCCCACAGTTCTTATTACTTTTTTTTTTTGAAGAGAGTAAAACCAAATGTGACAGAACAGAACAGAGTCAGTCAAATCAAAAGGATGGACATAATACCTAATATAAAAACAAAACACAAGGTGATCAACAATGGTTACCATAATGCCTCTTGTTATCTTAAAAAGAATTGCCTATATCATCAGTTATAATAAAATTGGACAAAACAGTAAAGAATAAGACCAATAAAACCAAAACATTGGAGACATTAGAGGGCTTCAAAAGAAGATAATAGTCAACCAGAATGGGTGGCACAATGCATCTTATTGTCTTCATAGTTGTTGCTTATACTTTCAAACTTGGTACTCTCAAGCATAACAGAATAGAGGAAAATCAGTCAAAACAAGATGGTGAGAGCAATAGAGGGTTTCAAATCAAGTTAATAGGAAATCAAAGTGGGTTACTATAATATATCCTGCTATTTTTTATTTATTTTTCCCTTAATTAAAAGGATAAAAATGAAAGAGTAGATAATAAAAGGAGATTGAGATAAAAAATGGGGGGGGGACATAACAACAAAACAGCGCAGGTCAAAACATACCATTTAAGCAAAATAGTGTTTCACCACAAGATAATCTCGGCATAATAGTAATTATAATAGTGTCTTTTCCCTTAAAATCTTTGGGTATAACTTCGCATACTGTAGCACCAAACATATCAAGACAATGCAAAACTGTTCAAGAGAATGACAGGATTACAGGGTATTTAGAATCAACTAACAGAAAATGAACAATGGTTTCTGTATAATCTCCTTGTCTATAAAAGTTTTTATTTATATTATCACATATAATAAAATCCAATAAGATACAACACATTAAAACCGATGGAGACAGAAGAACAAAAGCTTGATGGGACTTCAAAACAAGAGGATATTAAATCAGCACTACCTACTATGATGTCTTGTTTTCTCCAAAATGGCTGTTCCTACCATCCAACCTTCTCTGCCTCATTTCTGTTGAGCTCTTTTTCTGTCATTAGTTGTCAGTTTGTCTTCTTCATTTCTCTTTCTGCTCCATTCATTGTGGCCTCTCTGCCACTGTTTCTGGAATCTTGGTATTTTTCATTTTTAGAATATCCTGCAGTTAAAAGAAAAGAATGGGAGATCATTGTGGTTGGACCTGACCTTGCTATGGCAAGCAGAAATACCAAAATGACACCCAGGATTTGGAGGACATTTATTTAATGTCAGACAAGCACTGACTGAGATCATTCCCAAATTATCTCAACTGCCGATCTCTGGTAGTTGAGGGCTTATTTGGGATAAGCAAACAGGAAGTACAAAGGCAGAATAGCTTGTCAAGTAGGGAACTGTTTCTTACAATATGCAGCATAATGACCAGCCGTTTCTAAGACACAGAAGTAACAGGAACTGTAATCAGCACTACTACCTACCTGGGTATACTGGCTGGGAGACATTTTCTGTTATAACCTAACTAGCCTAACTAGGAGTCCCATTGGAAGGCACCACCCTCCTTCAGGAAGACAGAAGGATGCAGCACAGGAAGATTCCTGATGCCGGCTCTGAAGATGGAGGTGGCCCCACGGTATGGCTTGCCGGCAACTTTCAGGAACCGTGATTGCTTTGGTCTGTCACAAGGAAATGGGGCCTCAGTCCTAAGACCACAAGGAATTCGGTCAACAACCAAATGAATTTGCGAGTGGTTCTTCCTCAGTGGAAGGAATTCAGCCTGATTCAGCTGTGCTGAGGTGGAACTCTGGACTTACAGACCTGTGAGATGATAAACAGTGTTGTTTTAAGCCACTTTGTTACAACATCATGCATATTGTTTTAATTTTATACTTTGATTTTACAAATAATTATACATAACCATGCCTGTGGGGAAAAAAAAAGAATATCCTGCAGTAATCTCTGTAGAGTTGAATTGGCGGTTGCATATTCCCCTAGTTCCTCTTTATCCTGGAAGCACCTTGGTTTTCCATCAATTTCTAGGGACAGTTGTGCAGGATATATCAATCTTGGCTGGAGGTTATTATCTTTCAAAGCTTGAATTATTTCCCCCCACGCTCTTCGTGATTTGATGGTTTGTGCCGAGAAGTCTGCTGTAATTCTGATGGGTGTTCCCTTGTAAGGGATCTGTTTCTTGTCTTTGATGACTTTTAATATTCTGTTCTTATATTGGATTTCTGGAATTTTGATTATTATATAACTGAGTGTAGCTCTGTTTGAGTTGTAGGTGGCTGGGTTCCTGTATGCCTCATACATCTGAGTATCTACCTTTTGCTAAATTAGGGAAATCCTCCTGGATTATTTCTGTGAATAGCTTTTGTAGTTCATTTGAGTCCCTATTTCTTCTTTTATGTTCTTAATTCTTAAATTATAGATCCTCTTATCATCTTCTAGTCTTTGTATTATTGCTATTTGTTTTCTTGTTATTTTTAAGAAGTTTTTCATTTCATGCTCCCATCTTACAAATCTGTCCTCTGGTTCTGATAATCTATCCTTAGTTTCTTTCAAACTGTTATGCCAGCTTTCAATAGAGTTTTTAGTTTCCCGGTAATCTCTTTGAACCTGCTTCACATATTCTATGTTTTCTCTGTTTTCTCCATCAAACAATTCTCCCCTTTTTTTCTGTTCTTCCATTCCACCATCTGTTTTTTCTTGGGCGGAGCTTAGCATTTCTCTATTTATTGTTATTTCTTGCTTCATTTCATTAAATACTTCATTTTTGAACTTGTCTATGAGGCTCCGGAGGTACCCCTTTATGTCTATAGGTGCCGTGTCTGATATTGCATGTTTTCTGTCTTCATTCTCTTTTGCATTTACCTTTCCTGGATCAGTGTTCTCAGGATTGGGGACTGAGGACCCTTTCTTGTTGCTCCCTTTTCCCATACTTTTTGTTCCTTCCATACAAGCGTATGTAGGAGGCCCAGTTTTTTTTTTTTCTCTCTCTCTCTTTGTCTGCTACAGTTTGTTTGGATCTGCCGGCTAGGTGTTCCCACCCACTGCAGTGTACTAGGGAGACACAGACCTGGGCAGCCTCTGCTGGGCCCACCCCTCCAGGTCAACCTACTGAATGCTTCACTGCTAGGGTGCACCGCCAGGCGCAGGGACCTGATTTGGGCTAGCCTACTGGATCTTAGTCCGTGGTGTCACCAGGCCACGTGCTCCCCACCACTCCCACTTGAGAGGGGAATATGCAACTAAAGTCACTGCAGGGCCCTGTTCTGGCTAGTCTGCTTGTTCCCAGAATGTCCTCTGTTTGAGCCTCCTACTCTATGAAAGGGTCCCCATTTCTCTCACTCACCGCAGGTCAGTGCAGGGCTCCCTGCCAGTCCCGCTCTCAATGTCGTTTGGTTCGCCGATTCCAGCTCTCAGAGCTTTCGCACGTCTCTCTCCCTGCCATGTGGATTGGGACGCTGTATCAGCAGCAGGAAATTCAAATCACAGCTTCCAATGGCGCGGGATCCAGCTTCTGTGCTGAGATTTTATCTGTTCCTGTTATAGCATCAGGATTGCATTTCCAGTTGGTTTCTCTCAGCTTAGTTCGTTCCTGGGTCAGCAGGGTACATCTCTCCTCGCATAGGACTCCTCACATGGCACCGCTCCTGGATTCTAAACTGGTAATCTCAGAGAGCCTCTGTGGCTGCTGTTATTTGTCCGTCATGTTCTCCCGGAAGGGTTTTACTGGTCTTATTCTGTACTGTTTTGTTCAATTCTTTTATACCAGCTGATATAGGCACCTCTTTGTAGGATAACAAGAGGCATAATGGTAACCATTGTTGATCACCTAGTAATCTCTTTTAGCATTATATACTATGTCCATCCTCCTCTTCTAACTGACTCTGTTTTGCTTTGTCACATGGGGGTTTTTTTTGTTCTGTTTTTTTTTTGTCTTTTTTCTTGTATTATATATATATATATATATATATATATAATTTCTTTTCCTCTTTAAAGAAAAAGTTATAAGAACTGTGGGAGTAATGGAACCCAAAATGTGTGATTGTTAGCATAAAGTAGGGAGGAAAGTAAGTCATCTAAAGGATACAACTGCAAGAGTATTTAAAAGTGTAGGATAGAAAACCATATTACTGAGTTTTTGTTGGATCATTGAACAGAACTATCTGTAATCTCACTTTATTAATGTCCACTTTGTATGCTTTAATTTTGTAACCTGGACAGCTGTTTCTGAGATGACAATATGTAATCTATTTACTAGTGAATTCTTACTGTATATTTTTTCTCATGAAATTCTGTATTACTTGTAGCCTTTTACTTCTTGCTTTGTCTTGTTTTGTTTTTCTCTTTAAATAAAAAAAAAAAACACTGAGATTTCATCTCACTCCTGCAAGAATGGCCAGGAACAAGAAAACCATCAACAACAAATGCTGGGGGCTAGGGATTTAGCTCAGCGGCGTAAGTGCCTGCCTTGCAAGCAGGCAGTCGTGAGTTCGATCCTCGGTACCGATAAAAAGGAAAAAGACAAAAAAAAATTGCTGGAGAGGCTGTGGGGAAAAAGGAACTCTCTGCACTGTTGGTGGGAGTGTAGACTGATGCAACCATTGTGGAGGCCAGTCTGGAGATTTCTCAAAAAGCTGGGATTGGAAGTCCCATTTGTTCTAGCTATTCCACTTCTAGGCATATTCCCAGAAGAACTGAAAGCATCATACCACAGTGATGTATGTGCACCCATGTTTATAGCAGCACAATTTGTAATAGCCAGATCTTGGAAATGACCCAAGTGTCTATCAACTGAGGAATGGAAAAAAAAGTTGTGGGGTTTTTTTTTTTGTCTTTTTCCTTTTTATTGGTACCAGGAATCAAACTCACGACTGCCTGCTTGCAAGTCAGGTGCTTATGCCACTGAGCTAAATCTCCAGCCCCAAAAGTTGTGGTATTTTTATACAATGGGGTACTCCTCAGCTATAAAGAAGGATCACATTGAGATATTTATAAATAAATGGACACAGCTTGAGACCATACTCATAAGTGAAATAAACCAAACTCACATGTATGAATATCAAATAGTTTCCCTATTATAAGAAATGATTCAAATATATAAAAGTATGTGGTAATCATGATTTCCTATTATGTGGCTTTGAAGCCTTATAAAGTTTTCACTCATTAATTGGAATGGCTTTATTCTGGGCTGTTTGATATTATTGCCTGTGATGCTATGAACAGCTATTTTGAAGAAAACAAGACATCATAATAGCTAGTGCTGATTTATTATCATCTTGTTTTGAAGTCCCACCAGACTGTTGTTTTTCAGTCTCCATTGGTTTTATCATGTTGTATCTTACTGCATTTTATTATATGTGATAGTATAAACAAAAAATTTTATAGGCAAAGAGATAATATAGACACCATTGTTCATTTTCTCTTAACTGGTTCTAAATATCCTGTAATACTTTCATCCTCTTGAATGGTTTCATACTGCCTTGATATGTTTGAAGCCATAGTATACAAAGTTATACTCAAATATTTCAAGGAGAGAGACACTATGGTAACTACTGTTAAGTTGGGTTATCTTGTGGTGAAGCACTAGGTTGCTGAAATTGTTATGCTTTGACCTATATTGTTATGTCCTCTTTATCTCAATCTCCCCCTTTTTAAAAAAATTTTTTTATTTTTTCATTATTTTTTTAGTTAAGGGAAAAAATTTTTAAAAATTAGCAAGATATATTATAGTAACTTTTTTGAATTCCCATTAACTTGATTTGAAGCCTGTATTGCTCCCACCATCTTGTTTTGACTGATTTTGCTCTGTTCATTCTGTTTGATAGTTTCAAGTTTGAGGGTATAGGCAACTACTTTGAAGGCATTCTGGTTCCCATTTTGGTTTGACTATTATCATCTTTTGAAGTCCTGTAATGTCTGCAATGTTTAGGTTTTATTGGTCTTGTTCTGCACTGTTTTGTTCAATTTTATTATACCTAATGATATAGGCAATTCTTTTTAAGGTAGCAAAGAGGCATTATGGTAACCACTGTTGATTACCTTGTATTCTGTTTTTAATATCATGTGCTATGTCCATCCTTTGTTTTGACTGACTGCTTTGTTTTTTCATGTTTGGTTTTATTCTCTTCCAAAAAAAATAATAATAACTATGGGAGT